TTACCTGGCTCCGTGCAGCTAAACCTCGACTACACCTCCCCCGATTTCGTCCTCGACAATAACCTCACAACATCGGCCGATATGTTCTCTCTAGGCCTCCTGTGTGTTGCTCTCTACAACTCGCCCCATCGCTCTCCTCTCGAAACCCATGCTAGCGTCTCGACATACAAAAGACTGTTCTCCTCCTCATCAACGATTCCGTCTTCATCCAATAAGTTCTTGGCATCCAGAAACTTGCCAAAGGACCTGTCGGCTCACGTCTTGCCGCGCCTCATCACTCGACGGCCGGCGCAGCGCATGACGGCCAAGGAGTTCCAGGACAGCGAGTATTTTGACAACATACTGGTCTCCACGATTCGCTTCCTCGATGCTTTCCCCGCCAAGACGCCCAATGAAAAGGCGCAGTTCATGCGGGGCTTGAATAAAGTCCTGCCGTCTTTTCCCAAGTCGGTCATGGAGAAGAAGCTGCTGCCGGCATTGCTCGAGGAGATGAAAGACAAAGAGCTCATCTCTTTGATTCTTCAGAACATCTTCAAAATCATCGAGTTGTTGCCGACGGCAAAGCGTGCTTTCAGCGAAAGCGTTCGGCCGAGGCTTAAGGAGATTTTCGTGTCGACCGGCAAGAAAGAAGCAGAGCCGCCAAAAGATCCAGCCAAGGATGCCGGTCTCATGGTCGTCCTCGAGAACATGCCCGTCATTTCGAGCAATTGCGGCGGCAAGGAGTTCACCGACGGTAAGTGGTGATTTTTGCGATAGCCGGCTCATTCCCATCAAGTCGCTAACTCGGCCAGATATATTACCCATCATCATGACAGCAATTGAATCAGGGACTCCGGCTGTTGTTGATGCGGCTCTGAGAGGGCTGCCTGCCATCCTCGCGGTGCTCGACTTCAGCACGATCAAGAACGAACTCTTCCCGGTCATCGCCATGGTCTTCAGTAAAACGAACAGCCTGGCCATTAAGGTGCGCGGTTGTCAGGCGTTCGTGGTGCTGTGCGGCGGGTCGAACGATCCGTCGAATGACGGCCTGGGCGACTTCAGTGCCGAGAGAAAGAAGACGACGTCATCCTCCAGCGCTCTGGACAAGTACACAATGCAGGAAAAGATTGTGCCCCTGATCAAGTCAATCAAAACCAAAGAGCCAGCGGTCATGGTGGCGGCACTCAACGTACTACGTGTGGGTGGGCGACACGGCAGACGCGGACTTTGTGGCCATGGAGATCCCTGCCTATCCTTTGGAACATGAGCCTGGGCCCCGCTGCTCAATTTTAAAGCAGTTTCAGGGCTTCATGGATCTCATCAAAAACCCTGTCGAAGCGCGTAGAGGACGAGCAGACCAAGAAGCTACAGGAACTGAACGGCAACGCGAATGGCAGCACCGTTGGACCAGAAGACTTCATGGCCTTCGGCGGCGTGACAGGCACGACTTTTGACAGCAACACCAACGGTGCGTCGGAGAACGACTTTGAACAGCTCGTCAAGGGCAAAGTCACGAGCTCCACCTCGGGCGACTCGTTTGCGAGCTGGGACGACGCCCCCGTGCCGTCGGCCATCACGACGTCAGCCCGTCCGTCGATGGGGTCTCGATCCAGCACACCCAAGGCTGCCGCCTTTTCGTGGTCGACACCCAGTCCGCCGCAAACGACGGCTGCGCCTGGTCAGTTTAACGGCGTCAAGGCGCAAGCGCAACCGACGTTCCGCACTGTGACGCCGGACCTGAGTGGATTCCAGTCGATGACTCCTTCGACGACGCAGTTCTCTCAGCCGATGCAACCCGCCTGCAGCAGCAACAACAGCAGCAACAACAGCAGCAGGGCGTCGCCGCAGCGCCAGTGAACTGGGCGTCGGCGGGCAATTCGGCGACGCAGTCCAACCCATGGGCATCGTCGCCGGCCCCGTCGTCGTCAGGCCTCGGGGCCATGAGCGCTTCGATGGGGAGTCTGTCCATGGGTGGCGGCGCGAGGCCGGGCATGGGGTCCTCACAAGGATCATTCTCACTTCCGCCGCCACCGGGTGGTGGCAGCGGCATGATGGGGTCGTCGGGATTCAGTCTCGCGCCGCCGCCGAAGCAGCAGCAGGCTGCCCCGGTGAACCGGTCGGCGAGCGGCATGGGTGGTATGGGCATGGGCGTGATGGCTCAGCAGGGGGCGAACTCGATGAACTCGATGGGCTCGATGGGCTCGATGGGCTCGATGGGCTCGATGGGCTCGATGAACTCGATGAACTCGCTGAACTCTATGAATGCAATGGCAGCGAGGCCCGGCATGGGCATGGGCGTGGGCTCTGGAGCGAGCATGAACAGCATGATGGGAACAGCTCAGCAGCAGCATCAACAACAACAGCAAACACAGCAACAGCAGGCAAAGCCTGGTTTGGATAAGTACCAGAGCCTGATATGAGGACCGAAGTCTGTTAAGCGCCTGTTGGTTTTGGCTGTTCACTTTTGGTTTAAGGACGTTTTCTCTCAGAGTTGATAGACAGCGTTGATAGATTTTGATGGTTGAAAAGCAATGCGATCCAGCTTTTGGAGACAAGGACCTGGAAACTCTTCGATCTCTTTCTCTCTATCTCACTCGAACATGACTCGAAATGACACAACATGGATGAGCGTCCCAAGGGCGCATGCGTGGCCCATCCATTATTTGCTACTGTTGGTCAGCACACAGAACATTGCAGGGACCAGAGCTTGACTTCCACAGCCCAGTCGAGTGTTTCCCGGAGCCTTTTCAACACGTGGGGAGCAGCACGGCTGGCGCCGTACGTCTCGTCAGCTGGCTCGTCCGCTGTATTAGCCGAGGCGGACTGGACCAGAACAATCGATACCAAATGGCACACACGGAAAAACCAGCGGGCGTGTTCTCCCCGTGGCGTGCGGACGGAGGCGCCGGGTCATGATGCCACCACTTCCGGGATTGACGCACGCAGAACACACCCAAGCTTGAACGGCGCATTGCACTCAGTTGTCGCACAGCCATGCACCACCATTCAAAAGGGGCAGAGAAGACGCGCTACACATGTTAGAAACGCGAGCCCGCATCCCCGACGATTTCCGTTCTGCAACGAAAGAAAGGAAAAAAGCAGATGTGGTTTCTTTTGGGATGTGTGTGCGTGGCAGTTGATGGGGGAGGGGATTTCCCTCTGGGCTGGAACATGATCCATGTCTGGCAATATCGGACCGGGTGACACGCTCGATAGCAGCACGTTCTGCAGGACCCCAAACCACACCTATCTTGCACAGCTGGCCGAAGATGGCGAGTTGTGTCGAGGGGACACCTCATCATGTGCTCTATTTTCAAACCACTCTTCTGCTCATCGCCTGACACCGTGATACTTGGAGGACATGTTCTTTTGCAGGCCCTCGAGTGCAATAGGTATCGATGAATGGAAGTGAGGTGGATGGATTCGCTGACAAGTTCAGCGCAATGTCATGCATGATGAGACTACCTAACGCATAGGCCGAAGCCGAAAGTGGATCATCCATACATTGTTCGCTCTAGCTTTGATAGTCCATTTTCACCGCCAGACTCTTTTCTTTCTACAGTGAACATCCGCCCTCTCGAAGCAATCATTGCGGGAATAACGTTATCGGTGTCTGACGGAGACGGGCGGTTCCCAGTCATGCAACAGGGTCATACAATGGCGACAGATGTCGATACTCCAACCCCCCGGGTCAGCAGAACAGACGGCCCGGTAATCAATCATACCTGATGAACCTACAAAAGGTACCTGGTCAAGGTAGGGTGAGTAGGCAATTGTCACAATTTCGACGACGCTTCCGGATTCAGCCCTCGGCGCCCAGCCCAGGCCCCTCCAGCCAACCAGTGTCCGGGCGGTGCTCAGGCAAAAGGCGCCAGCTCATGAGCTCATGCAGTCCATCGACGGGAACGGAGGACGATGACAGATCGGGCAACGCCAGCCACAACGAGGGCGACGTATAAGCGAACCCAACGAGTTTACCCGTTGGACGCATCCCTCATTTGTGCTGACTTGAATCCCATGGGGGGGAAAAGGAGCAAAAAGAGCGTTATGAGCTGGTACCCAGAGTATACGAGTAGCGTAGACGAGGGTCTAATCACGAATGCCCAGACCAGGCGAGTCCGGGTTTGGCCAAGCCCGACACCACACCACACACACACACACACACACACAGAGAGAGAGAGATAGATACTGTCACCATATACTGGTGCATTCCCGATGTAGTGCTTTCTGGCTCTCAAATCATTGGCCCGCTGGCCAATGCACCAGAAAAGAGGGAACCTTGGCTTTCCGTGCCATTTGCGTTTGGCTTTCCACTTGCATTTTTTTTTTCGATTCCATATGCATGGCCTGACGGGAAAAAAAAAGACGGAGGATCGACAAGTTGCTTCCTTCGTTCAATTGTTCATTCTGGCTTCCACTGTTGTAGTGAAACCAACCCAAATCATCAGACAAGAGCCCATGTGAGCGAGCAGGACATGCCAGAGAGAGAGAGAGAGAGAGAGACGCATCACATGACAGCCATCTATCCATTGATCGGCATCTCTTGACTTTCCGTTGCGTTTACCTTGTGGCTGAGGCAAGTGAAAATGCCCATACAACTCGGGTCTTGACCTGGACAAGAAGAACAAGAAGAGGGACGAGGAGGCAAGCCGAGGAGGCAAGCCGAGGAGAGCAGAGGAGAGCAGAGGAGAGCAGAAGAGAAGTAAAGTAGAGTGAGCCAAAGGTAGAGTTTCTAGCGAGGCCGCTTGGTCTTGCCTTGCCTTGCCTTACCTTGCCTCATCTTGCCTTACACTTTGGTGCTATTCCCTTTTCTTCTGCCCACCCATTCCTACTCTCCTCAACCTAGACCTTTCCACAACTCCCATTTTCCGTCGTCCGACTCGACTCACTTCCTCTCAACACGACACATCCCTGTTTTTGTTGGTCGTCTTCGCCCCGACTCCGCCTCTCTGTCTCTTTCTCTCTATCCACTCGTACACACACTCTATCTCGCTCTCTCTCTCTATCTTTCTCTCTCTTGCACTCTTGTCACCCTTGCTCCTCGATACCTTGACCTCAACTCTGCACACGGCCCGGAGTTGCGACGTCTGCCTTTTGCTTGCTTCACCTGGGCACATTCTCCTCCTCGCCCCCCCACACAACCTTGCCAACCCCCCCGGTCAATTCGTCTGCCTATCTCCCGTGCTCTTCCTGTTTGTCCCACCACACACACACACACACACCTCTCGCCATTCCGAATCGCTTCATCTAGTCATCATCACCATTGCCATCCGTCAATCAACCCCATCCATCCAAAACTTTCGACATATTGTCTCATCAAAGAGACAATCATACATTTTTGGGCCTTCCACCGTCGCGTAACTTGTTGTGGAATTTCAAGTTTCGAGCCTTCTGCGACAAAATCGCCGTCTCGTCAAGACTCTCTCGTCGGCACATTTTGCCACGCATAACAGACTCAACTCTTACACATCATCCCATTATGCGGACAACAGAGAGGGTAAATGGCCAACCTGCCAGTCGGACAGGTACGTGTATTCTGGGATTTCCTCTCTTTCTGTCTGGTCTTCCCACCTTTTTTTTTCTCTCTTGCTCTTCCTCTCCCTGTTCTTCCCCTTCTGCCTAGTCATGTCTTGTCTCACCCAACCATCGGCGGCGATCCGACCGAACCTGGGCGTTGTGGCCACTGTCGTGTCATTCGTTGCTCATTCACTCATTTGCTCCTATTTCACTGGCTTCTGTGTGCCAGGTTGTATTTCTCATCCTTCTGTTTGTGCACATTGTCGTTTCAGTTGCCTTCTCAAACCGACATTGATGTCCCAGACGCGTTCATGTCGATCCCCGCATCGTCGTCGCTCAAACACCAGACATGAAAAAAAACAAGCACATGAACAAATCACTGACCTGACCCAGAATCGCCGGCCAACACAACAATGTATCACAAAAAACCACAGCGCCGAATCGGCAAACGACGCGTCAAAGGCCCCAAAGGCATGACCGTCAACACGGTTGAGATGGCGACGTCTCGCTCCGGGTCGCTGTCGCGCGCTCAGACAGAAACACCGTCTCGGACGCCCACGCCCACGGAAATCTCCCACGACCTCGGCTTGCGAGAACTCGAAGAACGCGCCAAGGATGTGCGTGAATCTTGCTGGACACATGACTCTCTCTTTGAAGACGCCGTCGACGGCATCCCCTCAGACACCAAATTCGCCGCCGACGATCCCAACGCCTGTTCGCCAGCCGAGGCCTACCACCTTCGCCAGCTGCTGCGGACCATCGGTCCCCGCGAGTTCTGCCTGCGCACAGTCGACTCTGGCCGGTATACGGCGAAACGCCTGCTCACGGCCTTTAACATCCGTGCCCCGGCTTTTCTCGACGGCGCCCCCGAGGAGGCCTACACGAGCATGCTGACGCTCGCCTTCAGCCGTGAGCTGGCCAAGCGCGCCAAGCTGCCGTCGCACAACTCACTCGACGACGCCGTCGCCCTGCTGACCCGCTCCCGCAACATCATGGTCATTACGGGCGCCGGCATCTCAACATCGCTCGGCATCCCCGACTTCCGTTCCAAGAAGACGGGACTCTACGCCCAGCTGGAGCACATGGGCCTCGCCGTGCACGACCCGCAGGAGGTCTTTGACATTAACGTCTTCCGCGACGACCCCACCATCTTCTACACGGTCGCCAAGGACATCATTGTGAACACGGACCGCTACTCGCCGACGCATGCCTTCATCGCCATGCTGGACCGCATGGGCAAGCTGCTCACCAACTACACGCAAAATATTGACAACGTGGAGGCCCGTGCCGGCATCAACCCGGATCGCATCATCCAGTGCCACGGCTCCTTCGCCACAGCCTCGTGCCTCGAGTGCGGCTACAACTGCCCGGGCGAGGACATCTTCCCCGCCATCCACGCCAAGCAAATCCCGCGGTGCCCCAAGTGCGTCGCTCAGCTGCAGGCCGAGCGCGCGCAACAGCAACAACGCCGTCGCCGCCCGGGACGGCCCCCGAAGCGCGGCAACGCCGCCAAGCGACCCTACGCGCCGCGCCGGCGCTCCGGCCACGACAACCGGTCCGACGACTCGGACATCGACGACGACATCCCCCAGGGCGGCGTCATGAAGCCCGACATCACCTTTTTCGGCGAGGGTCTCCCCGACGCCTTTGGCCGCCGCCTCGCCGGCCACGACCGCGACCGCGTCGACCTCGTCCTCGTCATCGGCACCTCGCTCAAGGTGACGCCCGTGTCCGAGATTGTCTCGTGGCTGCCGCCCCACGTGCCCCAGCTCTGCATCTCGCTCGACCCCATCAACCACATCAACTTTGACATTGACCTGTTCGGCCCAGTGCGACGTTGTCGTCGCCGAGTTGTGCCGGCGCGCCAGCTGGGACCTGAGCCACGACATGGTGCCTCAGGGCCAGGCCGGTCGACGACAACTCCGAGCCCGGATGTCGAGTACCGGACCG